TGTTTGTGCTGTTGTACAAAATTGTATCTGTCATTGACTATTGCTATTGCCATTCTATATGTTGTTTTTTGGAGATTATTTTCCAAAGTAAAACCACTTTCTTTAGCCTTACAGTGTCAGAGGCATTGCCAGAATAGTCGTTGTCATCCAGAATCAGGGGACCCATCAATCAGTACCTCTTTCAGGGGTAAATGACACACGTGGAGACATAAGTCACCCCCCCCCCCCAAAAGGGTTTCTTCTGCCCTGTAGCTGACATCCCAGGGGACCGCAGCCCCCAGGAACAGCCCCCCAAGGAACCTTAGTACTGCCAGGCAGAAGTGCTAACCATTTAGCCACTGTGCTGCCCAATCCTAAGTCCTCTGCCAGCTTCCCCAACACACACCTTCTCACAGCTGTGTCTTCTGATGCTGTGGGGAGACCTATCACAAGGGGCAGATGATGTCAGATTTCAACTTAAACAGCATTCAACAACACAAAGGATACTTTGAGGTTGATTTACTAAAACTGGGGAGTGTAAAATTGGGTGCAGCTCTGCATAGAAACCAATCAGCTTCCAGTTTTTTTGCCAAACCTTAATTGAACAAGCTGAAGTTAGAAGATGATTGGCTACCATGCACAGCTGCACCATAGTTACATAGTTTGTCTGGCTGAAAAAAGACAAAAGTCCATCCAGTTCAACCATAGAAAAAAAAAAAAGTTATAATCCTATACCCACAGCTGATTCTGAGGAGGGAAAAAAAACCCAGCAAAGCACGATCCAATTTACTCCTGCTAGGAAAAAAATTCCTGATCCCCCGAGAGGCAGATGGATATTCTCTGGATCAACTTTACCTATAAATATTATTATCCAGCTATATTCTGTGTATCTAGGAAATAATCCAGGCATTGTTTGACCGGATTTTACATTCTCCAGTTTTAGTAAATCAACCCCTTTGCATTAAATGTAAGGACTGTCCCTTGTGCAGATTATTTTTTCTGTGCCCTGTGGGGTGCACACACCTCAGCACTCCACAATACACACTCCCGAGCACTGCACCCTGGCTGCTATGCACCCCTCAGTACTGTACTCTTTGTTTTACACATTCATAAACCTTGCGCCTTGTGTGAAACATTGTTCTGAGCCTTGACCATTATTTGAGCCACATTACTTTTCTACCCTGAGGAACAATGGGATTGGGGGCAAGGAATTGGCCAGAGGGGGAAGGGTGAGTTCCTGCACATATTCTCCAATAAAAACCATACATGCCTTTTTCCAAAGGTCTTAAGGACAGGCTGATGGTGTCATGGGTTCTTCTTCTTTCCCCAAAGGTGGGTGGCTTTACTGCTGCACTAAGCAGTGCAGAGGCGGTTCAGTGAAGCTATACTAAGCCTAAGACTGTATTATGATGCTGCCTCAAGGAGAGGGATTTTGACAGCCAGGGCACAGAGGAAGTAGTTTGAATAGTTGAGGCAATAACTTTGGATTGAAGATGAGTATTGCAGCAAAACTGGTAAGATGCAGCCTCATCTGGAACCTATTGTGCTGTTCAACAACACAGGCTTCAATTTGTAAAGTTCAAAAGCATGCATCATCTAGTGGTTTAAATTAATACTGCCTTCAAGTTCTCCATAAGTGTACACCCCCTTTATCACTAATTGTTGGTAACGTCTCTGGGTGCAGCTATGGACATTTACCCTAGAACCTGGATCATGTGTGTTGCAGGGTGTTAGACATGTTGTCCAGGTTTTCCAAGTCATATGCCTCCAATCACAGAGTTAGAATACCCCCTCACCAAATATTGTAGTGCCCACTTCCAACAGAAAGCATCTGTGTCTGAGGAACCATATAGAGCTCGCAAACAATTGCATCGTAACCTGCTTTGCCCATGTGTGTCCATTATTGACTCAGTCTTGGCTGACTTGGTCTTGATTTGGTCTTGGCTGAACAGCAACAAGAATATTTTGTCAGGAATGGACTCGCCAATGGTGGTGGGACTCACTTGCCTTGTGGGCTGCAGTACCAGGGCTGGCCAGCGGGTGCTCTCAGCAACCAGAAGCTCACTCCTGCAATCAGTCATCACCTGAGGCTGATTACAGGAGGTGTATTTAAGGAATGGCCAGACCTGCAGTCAGTGCCTTGGTGTTTGTTTCCCATGTGCCCTGTTTCCTGTATCCTGTCTCCTGCCTGCTCGACTCTCCTGCTTGACTCTGACTCTGATAGAACTCCGCCTGCACTGACCCCGGCTATTCCTGACCATTCTTCTGCCTGCTCCCGTTGTACCTTTCTGCCTGATTGTTCCTGACCCGGCCTGCCTGACCACTCCACCTCTCCAGCCCTGACTGCACCTGTACCTATTAGTTTAAGGTTTGTTTTGTTTTGCACTGTGTTTGTTTATTTTGTGCAGCTCATAATAAATATTATTATTATTTAATCATTTCTGAAGCCTGCTGTTTCCCTGTGTCAGTCCACACATCTCTGGTCATACCTGGATCCCTGACATTTTAACTGAAGGAGCCTTGGAATGGACCTTCCTACAGAGGAACTTGTAGTCCAAGCACTCCTGATTCTCCTAAAAAGAATGTACAGTTCCAGAACACTGAACCTTGCCTGCCCAGGCAAACTATGAGAGTACTAATGCCAGCCCAGCACTCTGAGTACTTTTCTTGAACTGTTTACTGGTTATCTGTGTTTATACATTGTTCTTTTTAGTTCTTTTCTCGCTATGGTTGCATGTAACGTAATTCCAGGGCCTGCATTCCTTAACAAGTTGGGAAATGTAGCAGGGTGTTAGGTGTGTAATTCTCATGTTTTAGTACTAGATGGCCCTACCTTTCTTTAGTTCCTTAATTTCAACTTTCTACTCAACCAGTCACTCATCAACTTTCTATTGAGCAGATGCAGTTTTAATTCCTCTTGGCCCAAAAGAGAATATGCTTTGCAGCCAACAAGTAAAATCCTTGCACCACTCCAATCCCCAGGCCAAAAAGATTGGGAGAAACATAGTTTTCACTGTAGCATCATCACCAGGTAGAAGTTCAGGAGAGAAGACCATGTGTCTGGAAGTATCCGAAATATTTAATAGTCTCCCAGTCAGCTCATAAGGTCCCCCAAGCCTGCTGATTGGCATTAAAGTAAACACCCATTACACATAATGGCACTTCTCTAATACACCAGAAATGGGCCAAACACCCCTGTGATTGATTCACGGTCGAATATTTGAACCTAATGAATGTTCTACTGCAAACTTCGTACTCAGTGCAAGTCTACGGAACTCAAATTTGTAAATTCAAAATTTTGAAGGCTTATATGCAAGTTATTGGCCATAAAAGGGGTATGGAGAGAGTATGGTACTGCCTTGAGGGACATGAATCAGTGAAAAAAAAAAGTCAAAAAGTAAAATTTTTAAAGGGCAATCATTTTTCATTGCTTAATGTAAAAAAAAGAAAAGAAAAAAACCTTTAAATATCATGCCTGTGGGGGTCCCCTTAAACTATCTGCAAATTTGCACATCTGTACAATGTATAGAACCTGCTGCAGCAGGACTGACCTTTTTTTTAAGAAAAGGAGAAACCCACCTCCCAAAAATGGGGGGGAGTGAGTGGGATTCTCCCAAAAGCCATACTATGCCCTTTAGGCCTGGTAGGACTTTTAAGGGGAACCCCACCCCAAAAAAGAGGAAGAAAAGTATGGGGTCCCCCCTAAATTCCTACCAGATCCTTGATCCGAGTACAGGCCTGGAAGGGCAGGAAAGGTGGGGGATGATCGAGCACCCCCTCCCTCTCCGCTTACCAGGCCATGTACCCTTGGCATAGGGACGGTGTCCCCATGCCAATGGGGACAAGAACCTCTTTCACATAACCTTGGCCTGATGGGTGTGGGTGTCTGGGTGCACATTAGCATCAGGGTACACCTTTAAATAAGGGGGCTCAATGATGCTTCCCCCCACCTTGTGAATAAACGATACTTGTAACTCTATCCATTCACTAAAGGGTTAAATTTAGAAAAAAAATAGAGACTAGTCTTTAAAAAAAAAAACAGTTTTTGACAAGTCCTTTAATAAAAAAAAAAAAGCAAACACAATGGTTATATCATTGTAATCCGCCGTTAATCACGCCATCCAGCGTTGTCACCATGACACCGACATGCCGAAATGAAAAAAACCTGACGGCTGCCATCCCATTTGCACCCACTGAACACTCACCGCTGGTCAGATGTAAACAATTGAGCTTTTGTGTGGAGTACTAGACCCATAACCACTCAAGGTGAGAGACAGACGCCTGTCCGGCCCATTGCAGCAGATTCCTCAGTGCTACCCCACAGAACTGAGACTCCAGAGCAGGGAGGAACTCCAGAAAAGCCAGAAGCTACCATCCGCCATGTCATCCCTGCTAGGAATCTTGGGAAAATATGATGCATTCCCCAACAACACATTCATATCCAAGATGTTTATTAGCATGTACAGTATTTAGGTTCATGCAAGCTTTTCTCTGTCCAAGTCACATTGACAATCATAGAAGTCTGGAAGAACATGACTGAAAATTATGTAAGAGCCAAAACAGCACTTTTATATTGAAATGATAAGCTCCACTAAAACAAAATTGGATACAGAGACATTTTCAGAGACAAGCTTATGACTTGGATTTATGTCTTGCAAAATCAATCCCTAAATTGTTCTATTCAATCTGAATGATTTAAATTGAAAAAATGGAATTCATAAAGGTCATCTGTGGATATATCTCGCCACATGGCTTTTCTCTTGAGTTCAGTTGGGCTTTTATAGGTTTAATAAAGCTTTCACTCCACTCACAATTTAAATTTAGATGCCTTTGCAGTCACTGCGTCTATTATTATTAATATACAGGATTATATAGCGCCAACGGTTTGCTCAGCGCTTTACATTATAGTGGGAGACAATACAGTAACAATACAGTTCAATACAAGAGGGAATTGAGAGCCCTGCTCCTCAGAGCTTACAATCTAGGAGGGAGGGGTGAGTGGTACAGTAAGTAAAACTGTGGGGGATGGAGTGGTTGAAAGAGTAGAGGATTCCAGTATTAGCAGAGGGCAGGATAGGCTTCCCTAAAGAGATAGGTTTTCAATGATCGCTTAAAGGTAAGTAGAGTAGGTGATAGTCTGATAGATTGGGGTAAGGAGTTCCAGAGGATGGGTGATGCCCTGGAGAAGTCTTGGAGACGAGCATGGGAGGAGGAGATAAGGGAGCTAGAGAGTAGGAGGTCTCGCAAGGAGCGGAGTGTACGGTTTGGGTGATATTTAGAGATAAGTTTGGTGATGTAATTTGGGGCAGTGTTGTGGAAGGCTTTGTATGTCATAGTTAGTGTTTTGAATTTTATCCGTTGGGCAACTGGGAGCCAGTGGAGGGATTGGCAGAGAGGGGTGGAGGACACCGAGTGGAGGGCAGTGGAGGGATTGGCAGAGAGGGATGGAGGACACCGAGTGGAGGGCAGTGGAGGGATTGGCAGAGAGGGATGGAGGACACTGAGTGGAGGCCAGTGGAGGGATTGGCAGAGAGGGGTGGCAGACACTGAGTGGAGGCCAGTGGAGGGATTGGCAGAGAGGGATGGAGGACACCGAGTGGAGGCCAGTGGAGGGATTGGCAGAGAGGGGTGGAGGACACTGAGTGGAGGCCAGTGGAGGGATTGGCAGAGAGGGATGGAGGACACCGAGTGGAGGCCAGTGGAGGGATTTGCAGAGAGGGGTGGCAGATACAGAACGGTTAGTAAGGTGGATGAGTCTGGCAGCAGCATTCATGATAGACAGAAGTGGGGATAGCCTGCGATGAGGTCGGCCAATGAGGAGGAAGTTACAATAGTCGAGGCGTGATATGACAAGGGAGTGAATAAGTTAAGTGCTTAGTGGTTTCCGGGGTTAGGAACGGGCGTATCTTGGAGATGTTGCGGAGGTGAAGTCTACATGATTTTGTCACCGATTAGATCTGGGGCTGGAAGGACAGATGGGAGTCTAGGATTACACCTAGTACCCTGGCATGAGGGGATGGACTAATGATTGTGTTATGGATATTTATGGTGAAGTCAGTGGAGGGGGCATGGGCAGGGGGGAATACTAGGAGCTCAGTTTTGGAAAGGTCTAAGTCTTCCCATTGAACCACAGCTGATACAGCAGCTGCAAATAGCCTATTAGTGTCAGAAGTGGAATGACGTAGTGCAAAATAATTTAACAAGCTTTCAAAATGAGAGATCAAACATGGAAGAAAATAAAACATGAAAAAATCTATTTTGAATTAAAAATTGAACTGACCTTAGTTTTGAATTTTGCATAGCAATGATGTAAAACATGTCTCTACTCTTTTGTTGGTTTGATGTTATTGATAATTCAATCATGCACAATCATAAGATAAGAAGAAAAGACCACCCGTACTCTATCAACATTTGGGGGCTTGATGGGTGCATGGAATTTTTCCCGGACCCAAGCCATTACTGATAAGCCTGTCCAATCCCTTTGTGACCTGTATTCTGTTTCTATGGTCAAGAACTAAACACTGTGTTGGAGGGGGGCAGTCAGCTGACCTAAAAGCTCCCAACAACCCCTTTAAGAGAAGATGTGTCTTTTTGTTGAGGGAACCTTCTACCCTTTGCTTTTGGAAGTTGCTGAATTGTTTGCCTAGCCCTTTGGTTTGAAGAGTTCTGGTAAGCATGTTGGGAGGGTAGAAATATTCTGCCTTGTTGATATTGGTTTATCTCCAGCTACCTCGCCAAGTTTGGCACTGTTGGATTTAGGATTCTGGGCCTGCAGAGCCAATCCTCTTGCAGAAAGGAAAAAAATATGTTTCCTAATACATTAAATATCCCTGATAGCAGGAGGATACTACTGTGCAGAGTATTTACATACTGTACTGTAGATAGTTAACCACCCTGGCGGTATTCTTGAGTGTAGCTCGGGGTAAACTTTCAGTACCACAAGCAATAACCCCAAGCTACACTCGGGAATACCCTGCAGCGTTGCTCCGGGATCCCTGTTCCACTTACCTTGCTCCCGCAACGTCCCTCCTGCAGTGTCCCCAGCAATGTCCTCCACCCGATGCCAGCATCCGTCTTCTGGGTTCCGGTCCCTGCGAGCGTCGGGATGTACGGGGGATGGAACCGGTGGGAAATTCAAACATTTTAAAAGTGACATTCACTCAATACACTAAAATTTGTCCTATTGTATTTCCGACTGATACCTTGTATTACCTATACCTATTGTATGCTCTGAGTTTATTAATAAACTTTATGGAAAAAAAAAAAAATCTGATAGTATTCCATGACTGTATCAAACCATTTCACATACATTTTGTCCCCAGTGCTTTGTCCTGTGCCCTGCCTGCTTTTTTACCCTTCTTTCTGCCTGGAAACTGAGAAACGTCCATGGCGTCCAAAAAGTGTCCCTTTAGATCAAAAGCGGTTTTAGACCGGCTAGAGAACAGCGATAGTAAATCAGAACCATTTGCAGAATTGAGTGATAATGATTCGTGGGGGAAATTCGTCATCAGACACTGAAAACAATTCTGCGACTTTGCTCAGCAATTTCAAATTTCAGTGTTTTTGGTTTGATTATATTATTGAATTAAATGTTATATTATTATATTATTATTTTTATGATTATTTATTATATTATAATTTATGATTTTGTGTTTCAAATTTTATCATACCCGGGATGTTTACTAGACTCTTGTTCAGACAGATTTCAGTGAGTTATTCCTAAAAATCACAGCCTACAATAAAAAAAACAAGATATTTCCATGCAAAAAAAGTACCGCTTTGAGCACAGAAATATTGACATAATCGTACCACTAGGGAGGTTAATAGAGTAGTTAAAAGGTGTCTTTCTAGGAGCCTGGAATAGGATGTGTCAAGATCCCACAGTGATCTGGCCACTTAGTGGCAAAACGTTAGAAGTAGAGCTTATGGACTTTCAATATTTCACTTTAGAGATAGGTTAGGCTATTGATTTAGGCACAATTCACACTGCAAAGCAGATCTCTGCATTGCCAGCTGCTCTAGGGGGGAGTGTGGTGACCGATGCAGCACATCACACGGGTCCTTTTTTTAATATATGAGCTTTATTTGAAGTATGCAAACCTTACACTTCACTCACTGCAATGTTGGGTAGCATGATGTGCTGCGTGGCCTGACATTGCAGTGTGATTCAGCCCGGTGAGCTGCAATAAAAAGCAGCATGTCTGCATTTTATCGCAGCATGATGTAGCACAGTGCTCGGCCGCTTTGCAGTGTGAATGGGACACATAGGAAACAAATGTTTCCTGTGTGTCCCTGCAATGACGGAAATTTTACCATGCGTTAAAACGTCTAATACACATATAGTCTGAATGAGCCCGTAGTCAAAGATCATTTCTCTGGAGATGATGCTTCAACTCAAAGACGTATCATTGAATGTATTATTAGCTTTGTTTCTTACAGAATGGCCTTAAAGACACACACTATTCTGAATTTCATCACGCTAGTAATGTATTTAGATAGTGGTAGGGCTATACCTAGAAAGAATGTATATATAGTATACAGTTGTGTCCAAAATTATTCAACCCCCAATGCTGTAAAGGGGTTTAGGGACTATAGTGTACATTTGGAATTGTATTCAGAATCAAATCCTACAAGGACGTTGTAACTACCCAAATGCAACTAAAATGACATCAATTGTTTATGTAATACAGTAGTAAATGGTTCTTATGTGGTTTCTTCATTGCCACAATTATTCAACCCCTTAAAGACTACCACTCTGAAGAACAGAGGTTCATACAGGTGCTTTCCATCAGGTATTGAAAAACACCTGTGGATGTCACCGAGCAGCAATCAAGCATAATAAGCACCAATTAGGCAGCTTTAAAATGACTGTGATACTCAGCTCCTTCTAGACATTTACTGGTGTGGTTACAAACATGGTGAAGGCAAGAGAATGGTCCAGGAAGACAAGAGAAGAGGTGATTTCTCTTCACAGGAAGGGCAATGGCTATAAGAAGATTGCAAAGATGTTAAACATACCAAGAGACACCTTAGGAAGCATCATTCGCAAATTCAAGGCAAAGGGCACTGTTGAAACGCTACCTGGTCGTGGCAGAAAGAAGATGCTGACTTCGACTGCTGTGCGCTACCTGAAGCGTAGAGTGGAGAGAAGTCCCCGTGTGACTGCTGAGGAACTGAGAAAAGATTTGTCAGATGTGGGTACAGAAGTTTCAGCCCAGACAATAAGACGCACACTGCGTAATGAAGGCCTCCGTGCCAGAACTCCCAGGCGTACCCCCTTGCTGTCTCCAAAGAATAAGAAGAGTCGACTGCAGTATGCCAAAAGCCATGTGGACAAACCACAAAAGTTGTGGGATAGTGTTCTGTGGACTGATGAAACAAAATTAGAACTGTTTGGGCCCATGGATCAACGCTATGTTTGGAGGAGGAAGAACAAGGCCTATGATGAAAAGAACACCTTGCCTACTGTGAAGCATGGTGGAGGGTCAATCATGCTTTGGGGCTGTTTTGCTTCTGCAGGTACAGGGGAAGCTTCAGCGTGTGCAAGGTACCATGAATTCTCTTCAGTACCAGGAGATATTGGATGGAAACGTGATGCAGTCCGTCACACACCTGAGGCTTGGGAGACGTTGGACCTTTCAAAACAGGACAATGATCCCAAGCATACCTCCAAGTCCACTAGAGCATGGTTGCAGAGGAAAGGCTGGAACATTTTGGAGTGGCCATCGCAGTCACCAGACTTAAATCCGATTGAGAACCTCTGGTGGGACTTAAAGAAAGCAGTTGCAGTGCGCAAGCCTAAGAATGTGACTGAACTGGAGGCCTTTGCCCATGAAGAATGGGCGAAGATACCCGTAGATCGCTGCAAGACACTTGTGTCAAGCTATGCTTCACGTTTAAAAGCTGTTATAACTGTAAAAGGATGCTGTACTAAGTACTAAGATTGAATGTCACTTGGGGGTTGAATAAAAACTGATAATGCTGTGAGCACAGAAAAGACATTTGTGGTTATTTCATTATAACTGTTATGTTATATTTGTCTGACCTACAAGTGCCTCTTTAATGTAAATGTAAGCAAGATGACTGAATGATCAAAAGCAATGTCAAACTGGCCAAAACACTCAATTTCAGTGGGGGGGTTGAATAATTTTGGACACAACTGTATTGATGTAAATATGTAAATGTGCATGGAGGGTTGGGCCAACCCTGATGTGACTTTTTTTTTCATTTTTTCATTTTTTTTTCATTCATCTGGAATGTTTCTGGTTCACCGTGCCACATGCTTCTGCTGCTGTTCATTTCCCTTCTCCCCCCTCCTCTTTTAGCATGGGATACTCACGCTCCTGTTTCAGGAGCCATTATTTGTGCCTTGACCCTTGAGGACAAGGCTAATTTTTAGCAGGTGGGTGAGTGTAGCACCCTCATAAGTTATTGAAGGTTGTTAGGTACATTTAGTTAGCTCCATTGTACCCAGTGTAGCAGGGGTTGATTGTTGAGGTCTGCTCAGTGTCTCAAAGGCTGCTGCTTTGATGACTTCCCCCTGTATTCTATAGAATTCCAGAAATACTGTGGGAGGAATAACAGAGTAAGCAGCCTGAATATTTATGGGACTTCAGTCAATCCCTGGGGAGGTGTTCAGTGTGCCCAGTAGATGGTTGGATAGCCCATTAATAGTCTGAGGCCTTTGTGAGACAAGAAGAGATCATTTCTGGGCCCAGTCCTGCTGGAGTAGACCCCTGTGTAAGAGTGCTAGAGGTGCCACGAAGAAGACATTAAGGTGCAAGCTAAGCCTTATTTGGGGGGCCTATTTGCAAGCTTTAGTCCTGGGATCAGTTTGGGTCTGGAGAAGCTCATTGGAGAGAAACAGGAGGAATCAGCTTGAAAGAGTGTCCAGCTGTCCTTTGGTGGTGTGACTCTGAATTTCTCTCATTGAGAAAAGGCTAGTGAACATCATTCTATGTCATCAATGATCCTGTGGCTGTGTGAGTAGATGATCTAAGTGCAGGAAAGTGAGCGAGCGGGTGTAGCTTTTGATCTCTAGGGAAAAATCATAGTAGCATCAGATTTGATATTCTTTGGGACATTCGTGTACAGCTCAGCAAGCTAGAAAAGAGTCTTCAAAGTTTACAATTTGTCAGTTTAGGGGTAACCTATGATCCCTTCATCCCATCCCAAAGTTCAACGTTCCAATAAAAACCCAGTCCACCACAGGTCTTTAGAGGGTGCGGTACATTTAAGACCACTGCTAAAAAAATAAAAAATCATTTTATTCTTTTGGTTTGGCCAGCAAATTTTTGCAGGTTGCATACAATTTTTTCTCTGAGAGCTTTGGTCCTTATCCCGTAGATCAGAGGGTTTGCAGAAATAGCTATGCTGGTACCGATCAAAGGTATGATAATATCAACTTTGATTGATACAGAACCTGTGCTTAGACTGTACCTGAAATTAATGAACAAAAGGGTGATAATATAAACGGAGAAGGCCAATACATGAGTCATCAAGGTATGCAAAGCTTTCTGGGAGGATTTTGCAGAACGTTTCAGACAGATGACAACTGTTCTTATGTAACAGTACATTATTACAAGCAAGCATGTAATCAAATTGAATAAGGTCAAAAATGTTCCGTAGATGACATTAATTGTTATATCGTTACAAACAAGCGGTTGTAGAGACATGACTTCACAATAGACATTGTTGACATTTACCCCACAAAACGTTAGCCTTAATGTCAACAATACACTTACACCTATTATCACCACATTGAAAACATATAAGGCAAGTGATATTGTTTGAGTTGTGTAGTTGGTCATCAGAGTGTGATATCTCAGAGGGTGGCCTACAGCCAGATATCGATCATATGCCATTACCGTAAAAGCAAATATTTCATAAGTTCCATAAAGCTCAATACAGAAGGATTGACAGAGACATCCTGTGAGTGAGATGGTTGAGCATCCAGACAACAAGTCAATGGCCAGCTTGGGAAAATATGCTGCATTCCCCAACATCACATTCATGACCATGACACATATTAAGATGTACATAGGTTCATGCAAGCTTTTCTCTGTCCAGGTTACATAGACGATCATAAAACCCATAAACAATGTGACTGAGAATAATGCAAGAGCCAAAACAACACATACATATCGAAATGATTCAATCTCAATAAGTCCCACCAGAACAAAGTTGGTTATAGAGACATTTTTCAGAAACAAGCTCATGACTTGGATTTATGTCTTGCAAAATCAACAATTCCTAAAATGTTCTATTCAATCTGAATGCTTTGAATTGAAAAAAAAAATGTAATTCATAGAGGCCCTGTGGATATTAGTGCAACACTCGTCGCATTGTTTTTTCCTTGAACTCAGTTGGGCTTATATAGGTTTCATAAAGCTGTCAACTCGCTCACAATTCAGATTTAGAAACTATTGCAGCACTGCGTCCAAGTCTTCCCAGTGGACCACAGCTGTTACAGCTGATGCTGATGGCCTAATTAGTGTTAGAAATGAAATGAAGAAATA